AAAGATTGGTGTTGCTTCTCTACCAAAATGATAACAAATGTAAATTGGGTAGGAGAAGAACAAAAGATTAAATCAACAACAACAAAAGCCTATAGGCAAGATATAAAATAATGAAGCACAAATGCCCTTGTGTGTGAGTGTATGAAATAAAAGATTTTTACTCAAAAGAGTAAGAAAAATAAGAACAAGGCTTTAAGAACACTCAAGAATAGAGAAGAAAGGCCTTAGATTTAATTGGGAAGTTGTTGTTAATAAAATGAGACTTAGAGGGGGTTCATATAGGAGTTTGGAATGTTAAAATTTGAGTTTTTAACGTTAAATGCTGTTAGGAAGTGATTAGGGGTGATTTGAATTTAAATTGGCAATTTGCTACAGTGCTGCCAACGGATCCGGTACCCTTCACGATAGGGTCAGTACCGTTCGGTACCTAGGTACCGTGACCCACGGTATGGCCTACCGTTTGGGGGTACCGTGTAAGCCAAAAAATTGGTTCGCCTCTAGGGGTACCTGGTTAGGACGGGGGTACCCAGCCGGTTCGGCCTACCGTACGGTACCCAGGTACCGTCTCACGGTAGGGGGGTACCGTGCACCTCCTGAGTGATACGTACCCGGTATGTTCACTAGGCTACCGGCGGTACCCTGGTGCCGTGTATACGGTAGCCAGGTACCGTTAGGCCTGTGTAAAAATTCCAAAACTTGTTTTTCGTGTTCCGTTTTCAAAATAACCCCAACTAAGAATATATTTGTCATTTTAAAATTAAATTTTGAGTGAAAGGGCGTAAGTAACTCATTAAAATATATCATTACCTTTACACAACAATTTCTAAACTCGTAGGAGTATATCTCGGTGATGCTAAACAAGCTAATAGAGGTTTTGGCATTTGTTTTTCCTGCAAATGATGTTAGTAACATTTCGAAGACTTATTTGGCACATCAAAACGGTTACGGGGTACGGCATTCAAGGCCAACATATCGTGAAAAGCATATATTGATTTTTAAAACTCCCCCTAAGTTGATGCACATGATATTTTGATAGAAACTCCCCCTAAATGTATGCATATGAAAGCCAATATTTCTCCCCCTTTTGGCAACATTCAAAAAGACTGGGTAAAAAAAATGGGTTTCAACACATAGGCATTCAACATGACAACAATTATAAGCATCAAGCATCATTAAGCCATAAGCAAGCAAATCATAAGCATAATCATAAAGGAGTTTGAGTCATACAAGTGCATAAAAAGAGTTTGAACCATAACAAAGAGTTTAAAAATTTAGGAGAAATACATAATGTTTGATCATATTTTCAAATGCTCTACACTTAGGTACGACGTCTAGAAGCACGATCCTCATTTTGCTTTTGACGATTTTCTCGGTCCTCCATCTTCTTCATCCTATCAGAGAGGTCATCGAGGCTTGCTTGAATTCTCTTCATCGGAGTCACGACGGTCTTGAGGATGAATTTCTTGAACTTTTTGAATGGGCTTTTGGAAGTGGACGCCATTTGAGAGTGACGGTGCAGGAGAGAGGCCGAGGAAGCATGAGACGCCGACTTTGAGCGTTTGACCCTAGGAGCACGAACGGGGACCTCCGTGTTGGCAATCTCTTCGGCTTCGTCCCTGGGTGTGCGTGAAGTGGAAGACAAAGATGACATGGAACGCCGAGGACCATACTCCGCTCGTGTCGCCTCATCAAGATTTTGAAACTCTTTCTTCATGTAGTACTCCTCTCCAATCTTTACGAGGCCACAATAGCCAAGGCACTCCGCGTCAAGATAGCGGACACGAGAAGGGCGCACCTCAAGAATTTACCTCTTGGCAAAGATGTGGGTAAGAAGCATGCCATAGGGTTTGTTTAGGCGATTGGAGCATTCATGCATGTGTTTAAGGATGATGGAAGGGAGATTGATTTTCTTGTGAGTGAGGAGCCAATATAAGAGAGTGCATTCATAAACCCCAACTTGTTTATCTTTGTTAAGGACCGGGATGACATTTTCTTTGAGGATTTTGAGGAGGATGAACCGATTTGCGGGTAAGTCTTGGACATTTGGCCTACGAAGAAAGTAGTGCGGGTCCTCAAAGACATGGTCAAGGGCAATGTTATTTAGCACTCAGAGGCAAGAATCGGAGTTAAAGTCTCGTGAGTCGGTAATCCATCCCTTTTTGCAATAGGTGGAGACTCCTTGACGGGCTAGATGAAACCATTCGGAGAGATTTTGGGTGTTGAATCCGAAGGTTTTGCCGGCTACTACGACGGTAATGGAAGGGTCTTGGGGATGGTATTTCATGAAAGAGTAAAATTGATGAACAAGTTCCGGGTAAACGGGGGCTTGGAGTTGAAGAAAGAAACTCCAACCTTGTTCTTGAATGAGTTCAAGAACGGCAATCGGGATGTCATCTTGTTTGAGGGTTCTTCCCTCGATGATATGCGGGTCGGCGTAAGCCTTGAACCCGACTTGAGCATCGGTATGAACATCGGAAACAATTTCGCTCATTTTAGGGAAAATTGAGAACGGAAGGATTTTAGGCGATAAAAATAAGAAATTGATACAAAATACCCGAATTGAAGAGAGAATTGGAAGAATTTTACTCTAATGTTTGAAGAAATTGATTAATTTGGACGAGGAAGTACCTTGATTGAAGAATCGATATAGAGAGACGGGAGTAGACTCCGGGAGTTGCAGCGACCGATTGAACCGAAAGTGGAAGAATGTGGTAAAAACCAGGGTTTTAATGAGATTGACCCGACGAGACGGTCGGTACCTAGGTACCATGTACAACGGTACCTTGGTACCGTACGACGGTATAGGGTTCCGTGTCCAGCTACCGTGTTGCTTCCAAAATCCCATTCGTTTCTGGCGGCACCTATTTAGGACGGGACCAGGGTACCGTCAGGGGTACCGTGCCTGAGCAAAAAGTTTTGTTTCGACCTCTAGACGCGTGTTTTGAGCATTTTGACTTGATCAATTTATTTTTATGACATAATGGGATAATAAGAACCTTAAATTTCACTTTAATTCAAGCATTCCCATTTCCCGACAAATATGTAAAAATTGTTTTTCATTCAATGGTTTTGTAAAAATGTCGGCACGTTCAAGCGTATTTATATATTCAATTTGAATATCTCCTTTTGAAACATGATCACGTATGAAATGATGTCTTATTTCTATGTGTTTAGTTCTAGAATGCAAAACGAGATTTTTGGAAATATTTATTGCACTTGAATTATCACAAAAAATAGGCACTTTTGAAGTCACTAAGTGTTTGCATCATCCATAAAATTTGACACATATGGTATAATTCCAAACTTGGCCAACACAATGAAGGTATAATTCCAAACTTGGCCACATATAATGTCACATATGGTAATACATAATGCCACAGATTACCATATAATGTCACATATGGTAATGCAGGATGCCACATATTATCATATATAATGTGAGTGTTGCAAATTCAAAATGTCAAACGAATGAATAATGTCGAACTCAACCACTCACTTGCAATAATACTACCGGATGACCAACCGTCATTGACAATGGCAGTTGGAGACCAAAATTCTTCCCAGATCCCAGCAATCAAGAGCAAAACCAATCAATTTTAGATCTAGAACAATCCACATACTTCACTTAGTTGAGGAAATCTCAATTACTTTCACTGTACTATTCAGCCTATCAAGGACGCATCGCCGAGGCGACTTCCATTTTGCTGGAGACGCGTCTGCCAACAGGGGAGCATGGGAAAAGGGACCATTTGATGAATTAGATTTGGATCCCAAAGAGTTGGAATTCCGATCTCGGCATGGGCCAACGTCGAATATGATGCTTTGGTCTCGCCGGCGAGTCTAGGCCAGCATCAGGCCGAGCTTGTTGAAAGGAGTTGCGACAGAAGTGGAATTAGCGGAAGGGACGATTTTTTTTCCTTTCTGGATTGAGACAACGGAGCAATGATTACTCAATCCAGAAAAAATCAGTTCTGAAATTGAAAATATAGAAAATTATTGAAATTGAGAAATTAAGTCAAATTAGAGGAGTCTCCTCATGCGCTACTGCAATTCAAGAAAATTACATTACCAGTGAAATCGATTGCGATGGAGGCTTGGATATGAAGACTCAAGAAATAAAGGCATGTTTTTTTCCTTTCTAGATTGAGTAGTGCGCTGGGAAGGTTTTTTTCCCCAATTTACTTACTCTTATTTAGAGGAGTTTGAGTTTGAACTCCTACTCTGAGGATATAACATATGTTTTACTCCTATTTGAGATGTTTTCTTATCTTGAAATTAGTATGGAACAAAAGAAGAAAGAGGTAGGAGTGGATGGGGGGAGAAAGAATAAATTAAGAAAGGATAAATTGGTAACTTTAAATACTTCCTCCGTCAAATTGGGATTTATGAGGAGAAATATCTCACTTTTTGAAATCAGTTTGTTTACAAATCGGTATATCGATAAGAAATAAAATTACATATTAAAAAACTACTCCCTCCGTCCCTTAAAAAGTTCTCGTTTTAACTTTTTGAGGATTTAATGAGACTGTATTTTGATGTTGACTTTTCAACAATGCCCTTTGATGTGATGGATAAAGTAGGATATGATGGATATATTAATAGGGAAAAAATGTGATGTGATAGGTAGGTTAAGAATTAGTAGGGGTAAAAGTGAATTTTTAAAAGGAAATGAGTGGTGTTTTTGGGACGGATGAAAAAAGAAAGGAGAACTTTTTTGTGGGATGGAGGAAGTACGTCAAAAATTTTACAAAATAAGAGGTGTCAAGAATATTTTATTTTATCAAATATTTAATAAAATCGCGTAAACAAACAAAAGTTATTAAAAAGAGAAAAAAAATACGGAGTATAATCAAATTAGAGAAAGGGCGGAGTATATTTTAATTCGTTAGAAAATGAGGAAAAAGTGGACGATTGAAAAGAAAAGTGAGAACAATGGGCCAATGGGGACGGACGGCCACCCCTAATTTCTCCAAATTTTTAGCACCAGTCGCTCAATGACTGCGACGAGGTTAGGAAATAGAGTAAGAAATCTAGAACTTCTTCCGTGGACAATACTTCCAGTGAAAATGGGAATCGGCACCTTAAAAAACTATGCAAAACGCTTTTTGGATCAAAATTCGCGGTGGCGCTCCTCCGCCTATCCAGGTTCAGGGGTCTCTTCTCAGTCGCAATGTCTACAATTATGCCGTGGTTATTACTCTGGATCTCGCATCATGCAGCTGAGTACGTCCAGGGTACCAAATGCCCCATTTTTCAACGTATACCGGATTTCCCTGAAGTCATATTCGTCGTCTTCTAATACAAAGAGGGGATTTTTTTCTTGGTACTTGGGTAAGCTCGAATCACGTCCTATTCTCACGAAAAGCATATCTTCTGCTCTCATATACGCTGCTGCAGACTCCACCTCCCAGGTTCAAAAAAAAAATCTTAACCAATTTCATATAATCTTCTGATTTGAGTACTGTTGATGCTCTGCTACATACCTACTAATCATTTTGGGTTGTACCATCATCATTTCGATGTAAAATTAGAGCTCTGTTGGTTTGTTTTTGTCAGATTATTACAGCGTCGCTTTCGGATTCCTTAGATATTAAAAGGACCTTGCGAATGGCTAGCTTTGGGCTACTAATTTTGGGACCAGCTCAACATGTTTGGTTTAACTTTCTGGGGAGGATATTTCCAAGGCAAGATATGGTTACTTCCTTGAAGAAATTGGTGATAGGGCAGCTTGTGTTAGGACCTTTTATAACTGGGACATTCTTCACTTTCAATGCAGGATTGCAAGGTTTGCCTAACTAATTTTAATCCCCTCTCCCTCAATACGATCTATAGTTTTTCCTCACTTGTCTAATTAGAGTTTAAGTTCATTGTCTCATTAACTGAACAGCAATACATCTAGGCGATTGAGTAAAGTCCTATTCAGCCTGTTTTTTAGTTACTAAATTGGAAGGTGTGCAATGGTTGAGAGGTTTTTTCATGCTGTTGGTGTATATTCTTGTTTTTTTAAGAAACTTTCATGTTTGTCAGGAGGTACAAATTCATGCAGATCACCATCACTTGCACACCATACTCATTTAATCATTTATGTACTTGCATTCACGAAAACATATTTATTTAGACATATAAAGAATAAACACATGCATAGTGATATAGGCTTGATGTAGTAACTAGAAATTATGACACTTTGTGAGTTGGAAGAGTATGATGTGGATTTCTTTTGAATCTTTGCTAGAAATGAAGAAGTCTTAGCTTTTATGGAGTGTTGACCAACACTTCAAAGCAATATCTTTAATTCAAATTCTTGTATATAAATGACAGTTCCTGTCCAAGTAAATTAAGACAAGAAAAAATAATATGGAGTGGGATAGTGATGATGATGTTATTATGTTAAAAGTCATGTCATCTCATGTGAATGATATACATGCCAAAGGTTTTTTGGATTCAATTGGATCCATATCTAGAGCCTTATCATCCCTTTCTCTTTTAAGGTCACCAAAATTTTAAATATTGGATGTCCTTACCGAAGTCTTCCACATGAATTACTGATAAAAAATATTATTTTGCTTGTTACTTTATAGCCCTAGGCCACTAGATTTTATCTGGATTTGAAAAAAAATAAATTATCCATTTCTCTTTTGAGGCCACCAAGGTTTTAAATATTAGACACCCTTCAGCTTTATTAATAATTACACAATGTTCTTACTTGGTCTGAAATCTTCCGCATGAATTAGCTATACAAAATTACTCCCTCCTTTCCCCATAGATCTTCCCATTAGCCCTTTTTATTTGTATTCCATAGATCTTCTCATTAGCCTTTTTAACATTTAAAATACTACAACTACCCTCACTTTATTTATTACACCTCACCCATCTTATTTAATATACTCTACCCATTTTCATTAAGGATGTTTTTGTAAACATTCATCTTTTTTCAACTCTCCTTCAAAACTACAAATAGTCAAAATGAGAACATTTTAGGGGGACGGAGGGAGTATTTAGCTTGCTTCTTTTCTTTCATAGCCCTAGGCCACTAGAATTTGTCTAGCATTGAACATTAAATGCTCTTTACTTGAGCTTGTCTTTTTCCCCAATCTCACACATTACACACTCTCTCTCTACTTTCTCTCAATGACAATGACATTGTTTTGTTGATATTTACCCTTATCCTTGCATTTTACAAAAGTACACAGTGGTCTTTGTAGTGGTGTATCCAAGATTTGGGATGAGGGGGCAAGATTAGTCCATGGATTTGGAGGTAGTGCTAAGGAACATTTAAAAAATACACAATAAGAGATTACTATTTTTTAAATAACAAAAAATTAAGGAAAAAACCAACAATTATCAAATACTCCATCAGGCTGATAATAAGATTCTTTAATTGATGAGAGTCATGAGACATGATTATTAGGAAAGGTGAGACTGTGTGGTTGTCCTATGTGCGCAGACAAAAGAGAAACAATATAAAGAGTAAATTTCATAAATGGTCCTTCATAACAAGGATTTTTTCCATTTATAGTCTCCAATTCTAAAAGATATTATATTCATAGTTCTCTATATTTGAGAACCATTCTATAATCAATACTTTGACCCAAATAATGTTTTCCACGTACAGTCCACAAAGGACTCATCTTGGAATAGTTCTCAAATATTGACCGAACATAATATCTTACAATGGGAGACTATATAAATCCTCTATTATAAAGGACCATTTAAAGAATTTACTCTAATATAAGTCATACATTTCCTTCTTAAAAGGAAACTAGAACTTTATTTTGGGACAAACTAAGAAGGTATTGTAAAATCCATTTTCTTTAGGGAGGGAGCACCAATTAAAACATTAATTAAATAATCTGAAATTAATGCAACGATAGAACTTGTGCCAAAAATCTAATACTTAGCATCAATTACATGTAGTAATTAGTTTAAGTAATATAGCATGCAAGTTTTATTGATAAAATAAAAATAAACAGTGAATTCCTAAAAACATCCTTAATAACATGAGGGTTCCCACATATAGTCCACTTTGGAAAAGTGTTCTTATTCATGGTCCTTTATATTTAAGAACTATTCCACAATATGTTCTATGAGCACATTTCGGTGGTCTTCTATATTTGGAAACTATTTCGCGATAAGTCCTCAAAAGGACTTGTCATGGAATAGTTTCCAAATATAGAAGACTATGAATATAATACTTTGCCAATGCGGACTATATGTGGAAACCCATATGTTATGAAGGATGTTTCTAGGAATTCACTCAAAAATAAATAAATAACTGAACTTGTATATCGTATTTTCAAAAAATCATTTTGGTCCAAAAAATGTCGTTTTGGTGCCTCCATTGCATCCTCCCCCTGGATAAGCCACTGTTTATTCGGTAAGCTATTTCTGAGAAACGTGATTGGTAAGTTCAATTGTTTGTAAATGTGCTTTTTCACAAAATTCCTAATATACCCTTGACTTTAGATGATTTTATTTGAACCTTTTGTGTATTTTATTAGTCAACTAGTTTAAAAGTGTAATGTGAATTTAAAATTTGAGTAACTACTTTTCATTAGCTAGTTTAATACTCCCTCCATCCCGTAAAAAACTTTCTTGTTTTTCTTTCATAGATTTTAAGAAATTTTTTGGAAAATGAGTAGTTTGACCAATATCGGCTTTATGGAGTATTGATTATTGTTATTAGCCAAAAAAAGCGTCAAAAAGGTATGTAGTTTGACCAATATCGGCCTAATGGAGATGTTTGGAGTTTAAGATTATTGACCAATGCCAAACATCTCCTTAAAGCCAAGAAATACTTTTTGAAGAAAAGGTTGTCGGTTGTCCAAAAAGCATGTTTCCAAAATGGGACCTATGATCGAGTACAACTTCGAAAAGCATGTTGGCAACATGCCAAATTTACTATTTGCAGACACACAATGCTTGTTTGACACGGTGGCCCATAGTTTGTGCACATTTACCTTCATGGTTTTATAGGTGTACATTATGAGAGAGTATGGATTAATGTCCCAAAGGGTGCTGGCACCATTCTGGACTGACATTGTATAATCACATCTACGCAGCAGGCCTTGTAGATGCATAGATGTAAGGTTTTGACCTTTTCTCAAGAACGCTTGGGACCTATTCCAATCTAACATTGCTGATAACCACATCAACTATTTTGGGGTTGAGTCATATAGTGTAATATGCTAAGGAAAATGTTATTTGTCATTGGAAAGTCAATACATAAATTTTAAAATAAGGCACTATGGTGACTAGTTTCTCACATCTAGACATGGCAATCGGGTCAATGTCAATTGGTTCCGTTCCGGTTCGGTTTTTCTTTGTTTTGGTCTATTTTGGATATATGCTATCACCAGTTTGGGCCGGTTTGGTTTGGTTTAATTCGGATCCAGGTTTAACCGTTTAATTCAGTTCTCTATATTTTTCGGTTTTAGTTTGGTTCTGGTTTAGTTCAGATATGATTAGGGTACATACCAGTTCAGGTAGATATCAGTTTCAGGGCAGATTTCTGTTTGGATAGCTACTAGAGGTACCAATATAGATTAGTTCCGGATAAGATGGATATTGGTTCTGATACTTTGACGTTGTATTATTATCAAAATTTAATTGAGTATGTTTCTTTGTCCTTTTACCCATAAAAGTTTTCATGATTTTCTTTTCTAATCAACTTCTCACCTTATTCCTATTTAGACCTAAAGAAAGCGGAAATATTTCATTAATCATTAGTGAAAAATGAGAAATTTATCTTCCAAAATCATTTTCATTTCTCATTTTTAAATAGTAAAACATACTTTATTATTTATTACTCTCTTCATTCTGAAATAAACTTCCTCTTCCTTTTTTAAGAATTAATTTCATGGTTCACATTATCTCTCATTATCTCTATATATCTCCATTCTTCATAAAATATAACCAAAAAATTTCATTTTTTAAAAAAAATTGTGAAAAGAAAATAAAAATTGTAATTTGATATGAAGGGAGTAGTTTATTTAAATATTTAGAAACAGTTTTTTTGAACTTTAATTTTTAAACACTTCTGTTAGGGCATAACCACTTAATTTTTATACTGGGATCTGGTTGTTTTGAGTGTAGACATGAGAAAGCTTGTTGAAAGTCCTGTTAAATCTTCATTTGTGTTTGGATTTCGCAATATTCCTCTTCGAAATCTGAAAATATTTGTAATGGCAAAGTTTAGGTCATAGTATATGGCTATATGCTAGTTTGTTCGATATACTCTTTCTATTCCGGAGTGTTTGTCTACTTTCATTCTGGCACACATTGCAAGGAGGAGAGAATAAAGAGGAGAAATGACAAGCTTACCCTTCATCCAGCCTTTGCACCCAGCGTCACTGCACAAGATCTCTCAATTTCTTCTTTCTTTGATATCATCATCCTGTCTAATTTCTTCCATCTTTGATTGCACAAGATATCTCAATTTCTTCTTTCTTTGATATCATCATCCTGTCCAACTTCTTCCATCTTAGATAAATGTCATGCAAAAACACTAGCCCTCCCTTTTATGTAAATCCAAATATAAGGAAATTGGTATTCTGTAAACAAAAACAAAACCAAATTGGCTTTAGATCGAAACAAATCTCTCTAAATTACTTTGAAGGTCAGTGGCGGTGGAAGTTGTAAAGGACTGAGATACATGATCTATGATCTCTCAATGCCAAGGTGGCTGTTGGTGAAGATGTTACTTCTAGAAGTTCCAGATCGATTTTTGAGGAAAAATGTCGGCTATAGTTGTTGTGTGCAACCACATCCGCAGCGTCGTATTTTAATTTTGAGAAGCTCCGCAATAGGCCCCGGACTCAGTGCCTCCACAGCTGTATACAGGATGAAGAAGATAACTGCAGAAGAGAGAAAGGTTGCCCAGAGGTTAGGAGTAAGTTAGGGGTAAAATAGATTTTTCCTCCCATTTGTGTTTGCCAAAAAAGTGAAGTCGACAAACACTCTGGGGTGCCCAAAAAGGAATACTGGACAAATACTACGGGACGGAGGGAGCATAAAAATATATACCCAATCTGTTCTACAAGTGAAAGTAAAATAAAAATGAATTTTTTGTACTTGAGTGCAGGGGTAACAACAATTATAATTTATAAGCATGTTTGTTGAAAACAGAATGGGTCATGACTTGATTTAGTTTCGGGTTTGATTGGTTTTGGGTTTAATTGGTTTCGGTTCTAATCGGGTTTCGGTCTGATCGGTTACAGATCTAATTCGGGTTTGAATACATTTGGTTCACTTTTGGTTCAGTTTGGGTATTTCAGGGATTTGGTTATTGATTGGGTCTTCTCTTTTCGGATTTGGTTTTGGCCTTTTGGGTTATTCAGTCCGGATAATTGGTTCCGGCTCTGTTTTGTCAAGTTTATTCACATCCTTGAGATCACATTGCCGTTGCTCCTACAGGATAGTGTGCCTGGTTTTCCCGTTTTCCCTCGTCTGTTATCATTTGATGGAGTGTGTTACTGTATAGACAACAACCCAGTTGAATCCCACAAAAGTAGTGTGTAGGGAGAGTGTGTACGCACTACGCAGACCCTACCCGTACTTAAAAGTAGAGAGGCTGTTTCCAAAGAGACCCGCGGCTCAAGCATTACAGGTAATCAAGTACTAGCCTGACCCCTATGTTTAAAATATAGAGAGATTGTTTCCAAATGACCCATGATGCGTGTCGAAAGTTTCTATGACTAACTACTACTTCACTATTAAAAGAAGCACAAACAGTTTAAAGAGCCATTATGCTTTGTTCCATCATACCCGTATCGTTAATCCCAGCAAACTGTTAGTTTGGAGGACTTGGAAAAAAATGGAAAGGAATTAAATGCCAGCAAATTGTGCCCCAGGATGGAACATTAGAAGTCTTTCTGGGGTTGCTGTCTTTGTCTTTGTTCTGAAGAGGATAACATAACTTTCCATTTCCATCAAGATTACAGAAATTTGAAGTCTCTCAAATGCATGTGTTATCTAGAGAACCAAATAGGATTCATTTTCTGTAAATTTGGAACTTCTGGAAGAATTGGTATATCTCCGATTGCTCATTTGCATTATATATGAAACTTTTTAAGGTGAAAATGGAAGAGAGATTGCTTCAAGGTTGAAGCGTGACCTGCTGCCGACATTGATAAATGGTCTCATGTACTGGCCACTGTGTGATTTCTTGACATACAGAGCAATCCCAGTCCATTTGCAGGTCTGTCATATTTCATTACATACAGAAGAAGCTTTTACGTTTTTACTTTGTACTTTTTATTACTTACTCTGTCCCAAAACTAAAGTCTGACTTCCATAATTGGCGTCCCAAATCGAGAGTCCTATTTCTATTTTTGGTTTATGTTACTCATTAAAAATACTATGATAATTCTACTTTTTCTAATCACATTTTCTACGTACCTCCATTTATTTCTCACCTTCACTAAACATATTACACTATGTTACACTATCAGTTCACCGCCATTTCAAGGGAAAAATGGAATGCCAAACCCTTAAATTTGCCTTAATTTATGTGAGGTCCTAGTGAAGTTTAGGCGGTTTAGCTATGGGACGGAAGGAGTATATTGGCAACCTTATAATATTCGCTAGCAATGTTTAAATTAGTACTTCATACGTAGTAATATTTATATGTGTTGGACAGCCATTGATGAACAGCTCATTTGCATATTTGTGGACCATTTATCTAACATACATGGCAAGTTTGAAGAAAGCTGCTACAGATTAGTTTGATCATAATCAAATTTCTTGTCAGGATGAGGCTGTTTGGTTACCCTGTGTCTAGATCAACCTTGAATTGAGAAGATCATCATCCCCCTTTTCTTCCAAAAAGAAAGATCAATTTCTCAATTGTTCTTACCGAGTAATATTAGGGGCCATTTATGATGCACTAATTGTAATGTGGTAGAGTTGTTCGGTATGAATGTGTGATCAAGTTTTAACAATTTTGTAAGCTATCATTAGTTCTGTTATGAATTCTGCATTTCTTTTAGTATTAGCAAACTGTAGAAAGATCAAGCTTGGCACTATTTAAATCCCATCATCAATTCTAGATTAGATTGTTCATTTGCTGTGTGTTTTAGCACATTTTATCGAGTAAAATGTGAAATTTGCATGACTATTTACTGCGTTACTAAACAATGAGCTCCATAGGAACCATGATTTGGTTGAAAATATCCTAATTTTGATATTATAGTTTTGTTTGGAAATGTCTTTAAGGTTACTGTTAGATGGTTTTCTAAAGCGCTAACACTAATTTTTAACGTTGTTGCCAAACAAGACGTATATCATGAGCAGGACCGGCCTTCAGCATGTTCAAGCTGATCGACTGCACAGGGCCCAACAATAATGGAGGGCCCAAACTTTTCGGCAGTATTTCTGTGCCTCCCTTCTCTCCAATTGAGCAAAGATTGGGAACAAATAAGAGAGTAAGAGACACCAATTCTGCCTGCTCAAACGTCAAAAACCTTCTTCTCCAATAATTATTTTCTTTCTAATTTTTAAGTTTAGAATTTCCTAAACTCTTATCAATGTTCCAATTTTGATTCTAGTTTTAATTCCTTTGCTAGAATTCATTTTCCTCTTATCTTTTTTATTGAATCTTTTCAATTATAGTATATGTATAGGATTATAATTTATAAGTACAGAATTAAACTTTACTTGATATTTGTTTTAATTTAAATATAAGATTTTTTACTTAGGTTTTTTGACTTTTTGGGAAAACTTAAAATTAATTTTCTGAAATTAATTTTTATCATCAAAAAATTGGTTTTTATCCTTCATATTGCTATTATAAAAAAATTCATTACAAGTTTTTTTGAGTTCTAATGACTACTCCGTATATTATAACTTAGTATTTGCTTTTATTTTTTAACTTAATGACACGCAATCCTTGGATACCACCCGGTTGGTTCACCCGACTGGGTGGTGATAAAAGTGACAGAACGCATCCTTCTCAGACCGGGTCGTTTGACCGGTTGGATGGGGACTGAACTCCAACAACTATAGAGATGTTCTCCAAGTACTCTTATGGGACCGGTCAGAGAACTGACCGGTTGAATAGCCAGAGACGTGCTTGACGTGCTTAATTTTGTTATAAATACCCCTAAAACCCTCATTTGTGAGGTATGTTTTTGATTACCCTACACGGCTTGTACTTTGTAATAGTCCTAATATTATCAATAACAAACCGGGTTACAGGTGTTTCCACCTACAACCCTTCCGATTACTTTCACTTAAGTATTTGCGTGGTAATTTACACCATCAAATTGGCGCCGACCGTGGGGCCCATTACAAAAGTCATGGCAACCAACCAGGAAACTGTGATCTCACAAATTTCTACTCCCGCTGAGAACGTCACTTCGTTCCTGGGAGGAAGTACCCAACCGTCAAGCCAGATTCCTACCCCCATTATCACCATTCCACCACCTATCCCATTCACTTCCCCCACGAACCCCGTGCCTGTTTTTCCTTCAAATTTCCCCGGACCCCTTGATCCAATGTACAGCCAGGCTCTTCAGAGTTTTGGACATTTAATGTCCATGTTTCAGCAACCGGGAGGATTTTCACCTTTTATTCCAGGATTGTACCCACAATCCTCGCCTCAAACTAACATCATTTGCCCGGTCGTCCCGACAAACCTAATCGGGGAGATGGACAAAGCAGGTCCATCCCGATCCAGAAGGAGCCAGTCCCGCAGGTCGCAGACGAAGGTGACCTCGGATGGGGATGTGCGTTCAGTCCATAGCAAAGACGAGGATTGGGATGTTCCCCAAGAGCTCAAAAAATTGAAGGGAAAGGCCGTTCAACCAGAAGGCTCTAGGAGGTCGGCCTTTCAAAGGCTGGGACACGATGGCCGAAATCAAAACCGATCAGCAAAGGAGCGGTTGGGGGTGGAGACCATTCCGGCTAGTGCCCTTAATCGTGTAGGGGGACGAGCCGGACGACCTGGTCAGACAAGGCGAACGGAACCACCCCCACGAGATGAGCCCCAGCACAGCCGGGCACCACGAGAGGAGGAAGCAGAAAGCCACCCCAGGCACACAAATCGTACCCTTGTTGAACCACGGGATCGTGTGGGCCGGGTTGAGGGACGTCTGGAGAAACTACAGCGCCGGGTAGACCGGGAGGAAAAGAAGAAAATCCTGTTGAACGAATCCCCAATCACAGATCGGGTTCATGAAACCCCATTTCCAAAGAAGGCAAAACTTGCGGTCCCAAAGTTCACCGGGAAGGAGGACCCGGAAATTCACGTCAAAACCCTCCATCAAAGCGGGCGGATGATGGGTCTTTCCGGGGATGAGAAATGTTTGCTTTTCTTTCAAACCCTCCGCGGCCGCGCCGCTGAATGGTTTCATAACTTACCGGCCGGTGAAATCGACTCTTTCGATGAACTGGCTGAGGTGTTTCAAGAAAAGTTCAAAGAAAACTGTACCAAGAGGAAAAAATTTACCTACTTGAGTACAGCCGGGCAGCGAGAGCACGAGGATCTGACAAAATTCCTTACCCGGTGGAAGGATGAGGTTGACAAGGTGGAGGAGATGGACGACAAAACAGCCATGTCCCTCCTTGTGTCTGGGCTCCGATCCGGAGAGTTGTATAAGGAATTCTGCAGGAGGCCTCCCCAGTCCTACCAGGAGGCCTACAACACAACTTGGGATTATGCTGACGCTGAAGCACAGGTGTCATCCAAAAGGGAGGCCGAGCAGGGCCATCCCAAAGGAAAGATTTCCTTGAAGAAGGAAATTGAACTGCCCGGTAGAGCAAAGGCTGAAGTCATGGAGGTAAAGCCGGTCAAATCAGAGAAGAAACCGACCGGCGAAAAACAATGGACGGAGAAGTATTGCTCCTTCCACAAAACTGATTCCCATAACTTTGCGGAGTGCAACAGTGTGAAGGGAGTAATTAAGCAGATGATTGAGGCCGGGGAGATTGATCCGGAATATTTGGCCCAAGCCAAACAAAAGAAAAACCAATGGGTTAGGCCTGAAGGACAGCCGGCCGAACAGAACAAGAAGAAGAAAGCAGCCGGCAAGGAGCATTTACAGGTCATCTACGGCGGACCGGAAGGGGGAGATTCTGCTTCCTAAAGAAATAAATGGGGGCGAGAACTCTACGTTGGAACGGTGGCCCTAAATCCCCGGTCAAAACAAGCGAGACGGGAACCGATCACTTTTACTGACCGGGATCTTCCCGTCACCGGAGAAGATCACAATGACCCCTTGGTCATAACTATGGACATAGGTGGGGTCGATGTCTCCCGGGTGCTCGTTGACACGGGCAGTAGTGTTAACGTATTGTACTTGGATGCATTTGAGAAGCTCAAGTTGTGTTGAACACAGCTTGAGCCCTTAAAGACTCCCCTGTCTGGGTTTACCGGGGACTCAGTCGAAGCTGAAGGGTCGATCCTTCTAACCCGTGAGCTGGGCACAGGCGAGCAGGTCGTCCAAAAACAAATGAGGTTTGTGGTTGTGAACATCAAATGTGTTCACAATGCCATTTTGGGCCGGCTTGGGATAAACAAGGTCCGTAGGACAAGTCAGAGGAGATCAAAAGAAGGCCCGACATTGCTATTTGGAAGCTGTAACGAAAATGACGAAGGCCTTTGAGAGAGTCACTTTGGTCTCTCAGGAGGAAGACTGGTCAAAGTTAGAGCCGGGTGATGAAACCGAGCAGATTGTTCTCCGGGAAGCTTTCCCAGAAAGAATGGTACGGATTGGCAGAGATCTGCCCGGAGGACTTCGAGATGAAATCATCTCAGTCCTTCGGGAATATGCAGATATTTTTGCGTGGAGTGTGGCGGACATGCCGGGCATTAACCGTTCTGTCATATGCCATCGTTTGGCTGTGATGGAAGGGAGCCGGCCTGTGAAACAGAAGAAGAGGCACTTGGCGAACGTCCGGAGGGACTTTGTAAAAAAAGAAGTGAAGGATTTGTTGGCGGTCGGGCACATAAGAGAAGTACAATACCCGGCCTGGTTGGCTAACGTCGTCCTGGCTCCAAAAGGCGACACCTGGCGCATGTGCGTGGATTACACGGATCTAAACAAAGCATGTCCCATGGATTCATACCCGTTGCCCAGTCCCGATCAGATGGTCGATGAGACGGCCGGGTGTGAATTGCTCAGCTTCATGGACGCTTTCAAAGGCTACCCTTAGATTTTCATGGATGAGGAAGACGAGGAGAAGACTTCCTTCTTGACTCCAGAAGGCACTTATTGCTATTGGGTGATGGCCTTTGGACTAAAGAATTCGGGCGCCACTTACCAAAGGATGGTAAACCGGCTTTTTAAGCCACTCCTCGGTAAATCCATGGAAGCCTATGTGGACGATATGCTGATCAAAAGCCCGGGCGCGACAAATCACCCGGCTGACATGAGGCTTTACTTCGAGATTATGGCTAAGTACAACTTGCGTCTCAATCCCAAGAAATGCGTCTTTGCTGTAAAGACCGGTAAGTTTCTAGGGTTTATGGTGACCAAGCGTGGTATTGAGCCTAATCCGGAGAAGATTAAGGCCATAACTGAGATGAGGTCGCCCAGTTCGCTGAAGGACGTACAACGACTTACCGGGCGGTTGGCAGCCTTGAGTCGTTTTCTCTCCCGGTCTGCTGAGAGGGCTCTGCCTTTCTTCAAGGTTCTGAAGAAGGCTAATACATTCGAGTGGGACCGGGAATGCGAAGAAGCTTTCCAGCAGCTGAAGGAGTACTTAGTCTCTGATATTGTTTTGTCTAAACTCAAACCGGGTGAGACTTTGTATTTGTATCTGGGCATTTCCCAAAACGCTGTAAGCTCTGTTTTGATAAGAAATGAAGATGGCTAGAGGCCTATTTACTATGTAAGCAAAGCACTGAATGGGGCTGAAAGCCGGTACACTGCCATTGAGAAAACGGCATACGCACTTTTCATAACGGCCAAAAAACTGACCGCATACTTCCAAGCTCACACTGTGGAAGTACTGACCGATCAGCCACTTGGACCGGTCCTTCGAAATTCAACCTCCTCGGGAAGGTTGATCAAGTGGGCAATGATGCTCACTCAATTCAAGATAGAGTATAAACCAAGGACTGCAATTAAGGGTCAAGCTTTGGCAGACTTCCTCGTTGAACTGACCGGTCTAGAGCCCGAAGCCGGACCTTCACATACGGTCGAACCGTGGTGGGATATGGCCGTTGATGGGGCCTCTGGACCGAAGGGATGCGGGGCCGGCGTAGTCTTCACTACCCTGGAAAGATTCAAGATCTACCATGCCTTGGTTTTTAATTTCAAACTCACCAATAATGAGGCCGAGTATGAAGTGTTGGTCGGTGGTCTCAGACTAGCCCGGGCTCTCGGGATAAGAAGGATGAAGATCCGTTCCGATTCAAGTCTGGTTGTCGGACAGGTCAATGGTGAGATGGAAGTAAAGGAAGATCGCCTGGCCCGGTATAGTGACCTGGTCCGAGCACTCCTAAGGGAGTTAGAAGAGTTTCGTCTGACCAGGATACCCCGGTCAGAAAACGCTGATGCAGATATGCTTTCAAAATTGACGCAAGCTTGTCCGGAGCATGTGTCATAATTGGCGAAAATTGAGATACTGGACGTACCGAGTACAGACCGGTTTGAAGTCGCGGCCATCCAACCGGGCCAGACTTCAGCGACCGGGATAATCGGAGCAGATGATGACTGGAGGTACGAACTCGTGGAGTATTTGGAGACCGGTCAAAAACCAGATGATGAGGAACGAGCTAGGAAAGTGGTCCTACGGGCTCCACGTTTCCAAGTAATCGACGGTCATCTATACAAACGCGCCATTGGTGGACCACTCTTGCGTTGCTTGACCAACCCGGAGGCTGAACGGGTAATAGCTGAGGTACATGGGGGAGTTTGTGCAGCCCATCAGATGTCCCGCATTTTGGCTCAAAGGATAATATTGCTTGGCTACTACTGGCCGACCATTGTTGGAGATTGTGAAAGGTATGTCCAGAGATGTAGGACGTGCCAGGTTTTCTACAAACATCCCGGCAGACCGGCTACATATTACCAACCAACCTCTAATGTCATACCATTTGCCCGGTTTAGGATCGACATTATTGGAGCCTTCCCGGTTGCCCAAGGCGGAAAGAAGTTCGTGATGGTGGCTATAGATTACTTCACTAAATGGATCGAGGCTGAGGCGATGGCCACCATAACTGTACGGCAATGTGAGAAATTTATTTGGAAAAACATTATCACCCGGTTTGGTGCCCCAAAAATCATTGTCACCGACAACGGTCCACAGTTTCGCAACCCCCGGTTTACTGCATACCTTGCTAGCTTCGGGGTCAAGCATAACAAGGCATCGGTAGCATATCCACAGGAAAATGGCCAAGTCGAAAACACTAACCGAACCATTGTGGACGGTCTAAAAAAGAGACTGGGTGAGGAAGGACACAAGTGGCTGGAAGCTTTACCTCATACAGTCTGGGTGCATAGAGTGACTTCAAGGAGAGCAACTGGAGAGACTCCTTTCGTGCTCACTTACGGATGTGAAGCCCGGCTACCGGTGGAGGCAGAAATTCCAACATTTAGAGAAACCGTCTACGAGCCCGGTCAGAATGAGGTCGATCACCTCGCTGAATTGAATCTGGTGGAAGAATGAAGAACTATAGCGGCTGTCTGGATGGCCGGTTACCAGCAGTCAGTAAAGCGGTATCATGACAACCGGGTAGGCCCACGATACTTCCAAGTGCATGATGAAGTTTTGCGCAGGAGGGATGCTAGTAAGCCTAATGAGAGGGGCAAGCTGGCACGAAACTGGGAAGGGCCCTATCGCGTAAAAGCAATCGTCAGACCGGGCACTTACCAGTTGGAGACTATGGAAGGTGGCCGGGTCGACCGACATTGGAACTCTCACCACTTACGTAATTTTTTTAGATAAAGTGTAATGAGTTCCCGGCCATTAATGAAACTTTGTTCTTTTCAGAAAGATTGTTCTCATATATCAACCGGTAATTCGTCACATGACAATCTACCCGGTTAGGTGTCCAATCGAACTGGACGTCTCAAAAAAAAAAAAGAGACCGGTCTGACCGATCCAACACCTCATCCCTACTGACACGGGAGTTAAAAACAATTTGGCTTAACTAAAGGGAGAGCATCCCGGCCAGTTTAAGCCAGATTGTTTTGAAGAAAAACTTAAGGTTTACCTTTCCACAAGGGCGTTAAGCCATTGTGTAAACAGGTCGGCCTTACAAGAACCCGGGCAAATGCTTAACCTTTCGAAAAGGACAAGTCAATGCGCCATCGAGGGTTATACCAAACCGGGAAGAAATTTACAAAACTTAAAGTCTTCCCAGCTGACTATCCAGTCTCGAAAAGACATGGGTAAAACTGTATTCTAAGCCGGGTAAATACAGCCGGGCAGTTATTTACTACTCTAAACGGTTAAAGATATTAAGTCAAAGAATTTATAAATACAGGGAATAAAGTACTCAGCACACGGTGTTGAAAATACTTGTATTAATATTAAAATGTCTTACAAAAGTGCCCGGAGGCATATCATAAAAAAAAGGAGGAAAGAGAAGCCCGGCCAGATGGATCAGATGCCCGGGAATGGGGGGACCGGCACCTCGTCATGCAGCTCGGGCAGTGAAAGGGCCTTGGGTTGAAAGCCTTGGATCCTCTGCTCAAGGATGCCATAGAGGGCCTTCCGCTCAGAGTACTGGCCGCTTTCAAACCCGTAGGTCCCAATCTCGTCGGCCTCTTTAGCAGCCTTTAGCAATCCATCGTGTTTGGCGTAGAGCTGGCGGTAAATCACCCAGTGCTCTGTCCATTTGGCCTCAATCTTATCTGCCTTGGCCCGGGCAGCCTGGGCTTCCTTCCGGCATTCGACCATCATGGCCTCCATCCGGGCCTTCTCCTCATCCATTGACTTCACCAGCCGGGCGAAGTACTCCTCCCCGATCCGGCCGACCTGCTTTAAAGACATGGAAAACTTCTCAGAAAAGCATAAAAACGATAAGAGGGCGGTAGGGGAGAAAAAGGCGTCACCTCATTCAGATCGGATCGGAACGCTCGGAAGAGCTCCTCGTTTGACCTGGACATCAAAGCCAGGGAACGGGGTACGATGGGCCCCTTGCCGATGTCGGAGGACTGGCCCCTGATGGGAAGGCTGGTTGACTTCTTCAGTCTTCCGCTTCTTCCGTTGAAGGGACCCCCCCAGAAGTCTCTTCCTCGGATTCTGCTTCCTCGTTGGGCTGGCCTCCCACCCCGGCCTAGGACGTATGCCCAGTCTCCCCCATCAAGTTGTCAAACTCGAAGGTGTCTACGTTGAAGTAGATCTCCCCCGAGTGAATGGGCTGGTTGGTCCCCTGATGGGACTGGGCCGGTTGCTCGTCCAGCAAGAACGGCTGACTGGAGGAGGCATTGAGTGACTGAGCAGTGGAGGGCTCCTCAACCACTATCTGTGGAATGGCAAACTTGGACTGGAACTTCACCACTGCAAGAAAAGACACCGGTTAGAAAAACAACGATAAGAAAAACAACGTAAAGATTGGGAAGGGCAGTGGGTAAACCTTTCTCCTTCTTCTTTCTCGCCGGGCGTGAAGGACCGGCAGTGGCGGCGGCTGGGGCTTTGGGTCCCCCCGCCTGGCGGATGGGGATGGCTTCGGGGATCGCCCCAGGTAGAACAATCTCCGGTTCGGGGTCAGTCTCCCGGCCGGGGTAGACGCTCCACTTCCCGACGTGGTACAAACCGCGGGTGGAGGCGTCCCCGGCCCAGAGGGTGGCTTCCTAGGCAACCAGGTCATCGGCCTCCGTTGGTTTGACCTAGCGCTTCATTCTTTCCCCCCAGACATTTTGAGCAAAGGGAAAGGCAGCCAGGAGGAATTTGATACAAACATACTTGTCCTTCCACTTCTTGTTAGAAGGTGGAAGGCCGCAGAGGAATGCCCGGCCTTGGTGAGAAGACACCACGACGAACCCAAGGGTTTCCTTGGACCCGGGCCGGACATCGAACATATGGTCAAAGAGACGAAGAGAGAGGGGGATACGAAGAAACCGTCAGACATTGATGAAACTGCCCAACAAACGGTGACCATTAGGGGCCAATTGCCCGGGCATGATCCCGTACGTCTCAAGAAAAAGGACTTTGAATGGGTGAATAGAGAATTCACCCAAGTCCTTGATAGAATGGTAATGGATACCAATCGACGTACCGACGTGGAGAGGGATAATGCTTTTCCACGTTGCCCGGTAAGTTAATTGGTACCCATCAGGCATCAGATTACGCAGCTCGTGGACTTGGGGCTTCTGCATATACAACGGTTGCTCTTGGAGCAACCGGTCGTCTAGCTGAATGAAGCCCTCGTCCCCGGGCTGGGCAACCGAGACCACTTGCGCCACGGAAGAAGAAGGGGCACAAGTGGAAGCATCAACCGGCTTCTTCTGTGGAGAAGTAGCCGGGTGCTCAGAGTCGGAGGAAGAAGAGGAAGAGGAACCAAAGGTTGGAGACCGGCCACCAGAACCGTAAGAGTGAATGGAAGGGTTCTGGCTATCCACACGGTCTGACATGACTCAGAAAAGGAAGGAAAAAGACTTACTTGGAGACGATTAGAAGACTCGGAGGACTCGGAAATAGTAGAAGCAGCCGGGCAGTTTTTGAATCGAAGATTTGCAAGTGAGGAAATTATAGGGAGAACCTCGCTTTATATAGGGAAGATGCCGCCCAGACGGACGAACAAAAGAATGACACGTGGCAGCTGAAATCATTTGCCATCATAACCTCTCGGGAAGGCGAAACGGCACAGTAAATCGGCGGCTCCGTACCCGATTTCGAGGAGATTCTCCCTCTTTGGACACCCGGTTTTCAAAATTGCAAAATTCAAGATTCAAATTTCAAATTTTTTGGGTTGGCGCTAGTTTTCAGAGATGATTTTCCCACCAAAGAGCGACTGGGCAGTTCAAAACTTCAAGAGATGATCGCATATGCTTCCCGCCCCTGATGGTCCCCACAGGACCGGGAATCGGAGGACTCCTTGATGGATAATAACCCATGGATACCACCCGGTTGGTTCACCCGACTGGGTGGTGATAAAAGTGACAGAACGCATCCTTTTCAGACCGGGTCGTTTGACCGGTTGGATGGGGACTGAACTCCAACAACTATAGAGATGTTCTCCAAGTACTCTTATGGGACCGGTCAGAGAACTGACCGGTTGAATAGCCAGAGACGTGCTTGACGTGCTTAATTTTGTTATAAATACCCCTAAAACCCTCATTTGTGAGGTATGTTTTTGATTAACCTACACGGCTTGTACTTCGTAATAGTCCTAATATTATCAATAACAAACCGGGTTACAGGTGTTTCCACCTACAACCCTTCCGTTTACTTTCACTTAAGTATTTGCGTGGTAATTTACACCATCAAATTGGCTTGCTCCAAATTTCACCCTCTCGTTTCCGTGTTAAAGGACTAAACTTGGCACCCACAGCACTACTCCATAGGGCCCTTTCGACATCTGATGGGGTAAATGTAACACCTGCTGCTGTTAATTCCTCAAAATGAGTCACCAAGTTGGGTCAATCCAACAATATACTCCGTATTACATCCAGCATAAGAATGCCAAGACCCATTATACATTCAACAGAGTTATATAAGACAATCACAGCTCTACACTACTATTTGCCATTTCGGAAGACCACCAAATCAGAAAAACAAGGAATAGAACTGACACATTTAGATTGTGCAGTATGATTTGCAAATATCTGAGAAACATATATGCATTATATACTATATCTGTTATCAATGGGAGAGAGAATGCACCTCCTATTGAATTAAAGTATCTAGCATTTCTTATTATTTGAAAAGGGCACAATCTGGGAAATTTCTTATTAAAAACTCGAGGCAATGTCTAAAGTGTGGCCGTGTATTAATAATAATTCCTTCCTATTAAAGCCTTCATGAGACTAAGGGTCCATTCCGTTAAACTTGATTTTTCAGCTTATTACTTATTGTTATTCAAATAAGATCAGATAGACCAAATCTTCAAAAAATTAAATCAGATAACGCGAACGTAACACAACCTAACTTAAGAGCACCAAACTTTCAAACATCCATTACCTACGCTCATTTAATGTTTTCAACATACGATTTGCTACTTTATCCTCGTTAAGCTCTATTATTTAATCAACTGTAACTCAAGCTCCATTCTCTATGAGCTATAATTACCTTAAACAAGATGAAAAATGGAAATTCAAAGTACCTACTAGATGGGGGAGGCATAACAATTGCCCAAGTATGATTTATAGTGCTTCACAAATCAATATACATTCTTTACAATTTCAAGTTACCATAGACCTCATACAGTCATACTCCTCCAGAGTCTTGAACCTTATTACAATATGTTAAACTTACTTCCATTATAGATTTATGCATAGATGTTTTGGCATTTGTGGAGTGTGCGGGGTAGGTGCTTGTTGTGCGGCCTTCATTAATTTTATTGGGGGTACCCATCTCCTACACAGGTACTCAACACGCGAACGTAACACAACCTAGTTTAAGAGCACCAAACTTTCAAACATCCATTACCTACCCTCATTTATCTTTTCAACATGCGATTTGCTACTTTATCCTCGTTAAGCTCTATTGTTTAATCAACCGTAACTCAAGCTCTGTTCTCTATGAGCTATGATTACCTTAAACAAGATGAAAAATGGAAATTCAAAGTACCTACTAGATGGATACGACATGTCACTACCATATTTGCATTCGTTAAATTTTATCGAATATCAAATTTGGATACGTATCTTGACAGATGGTTTAAATCAACGACCATATCCATAACCATCAAATATCGGACATTTATATCAACATCGGGGTTTGATGTTTGAAAGTCAAATTGATATACGGAGGGCATAGATATTTTAATAGCATTACTCAATTGTAATTTGGTAATCTTTTTCCTATTTTTGATAATATATTCTTTATCTATATAGACACTATATGTTAAAAAGACACATATTTGTGTGCGTCTACATGTATGTTTTAGGCAGGGGCAGACCTAGAACATTTGAACCGTGGGGTCGAAATTTAGAAAATTTATATCCAATCGTCACGCTTCTAACAATAATTAAACAGTATTCTATAATACATAACATTAAAATTTATATCTGTGGTGAGCTTTGTGTCATCTGACCGAAGCATGTCATCTCACCGTAAGGTGTCATCTCACTAGAGTCAATCCCATATATATATATATATATATATATATCCAGTGAGATGACACCTTACGGTGAGATGACATGATACGATCAGATGACGCAAAGCTCACCACTGGCTACTGCAAAGCTCACCAAGGACAACTACAAAGCTCACCAAACTCTAAGGCAAAGCTCACCATATTTTTTCAATAATTTGATTTTTTTTTGAAAAAACATCAAAGGAATTGGTGCTGACTAGACTTTGACCATTGACCGTTTACCATCACCGCCGCCGACCACTACTGGCCGCCGCCGCTGGTGACCACCTTCGCCGCCACCGCCACCGCCACCGCCGCCGCCGGTGACCACCTCCGCCGCCGCCGGCCGCTGCTGGTCTCCGCCGCTCTTCCGCCACTGACCAGTGGTTGACCAGTGTTGCTATTTTATTTTTTATTAATTTTTTAATTTTCAAAATTAAAAAAAAATGTGAGTTTTGGTGTTCAGAGTGGTGAGCTTTGCCTTATTTCCAGGTGAGCTTTATATTGGCCATTGGTGAGCTTTGTAGTGTAATGTGGTGAACTTTCCGTCATCTCACCAAAGCATGTCATCTCATCGTAAGGTGTCATCTCACTTGAGTCAATCCATATATATATATATATATATATATATATATATATATATATATATATAATATATATATATATAATATATATATATATATATATATAATATATATATATATATATATATATATATATATATTCAACACCTGGATTACCTACTTGCTATAGAGGAGTTCCCACCTTTGCCACCTCCTTCAGTTGGCAAGGAAACCCTAAGCAAGTCCAAAGCTCCCAGTTCCAAAACAAAAGAAAGAAACCATGCCATGATCACCAGACACATGGCCTCAAGTAACTCTTCTCCCCCTTTTTTTTCCCCATGATTGGACTCTTTTGGAATTTGAGAGGTGTACATATTTCTCTTCCCCGTCTCAGCTCTCTCCTAAAAAAATCCAACTTTCATTTTCTTTCTCTTTTGGAACCCCTGGTTGAACCAAATAAATTGGAGTGGTACAGAATGAAACTTGGACTCTTGAAGGGTTTTCATGCTTTAAACAACAAACTTTGGTTTTTCTGGAATGACAGTGCCCTCTCACTTCAGGCCATCATTGAGGAAGAGCAGGTTCTAACATGCTGTTTTAAGGACCTTGAGTCCTCAACCACTATTTGGATCTCCAGTGTATATGGAAAGCATTGTAGACTCGATAGAGAAAGACTTTGGATCTCTTTAAGAAACCTCTTTCCTGTCCAAGGCCCATGGATCATTGGGGGAGATTTCAATACAGTATCTTCTATTACTGAACACAAAGGGGCAGTTTGTCCAGACCTTGGAAGTATGGCAGATTTTAATAGCACCATCTCTGATTGTGAGCTCATTTCCCCCACTTTTTTGGGCAGCCAATTCACCTGGTTTGGAAAAAGGGGTAAAGGAAGAGTTTGTAGAAGACTTGACAGAATCCTGATAAATGAAGATTGTATGAATCTATTCCAGGTCATTGAGGTGAAACACCTTGGTAGAGGGAACTCTGATCACAGGCCTTTGCTTCTGAAACTCCTCCTTAACCAAATCTCAGGCCCAAAACCTTTTAAATTTCTCAATATTTGGAGTTCCCATAAATCATACAATGATTTGATAATTTCCTCTTGGGATAAAAACTATCAGGGTGGGGGTATGAGAGGCCTTGCTAAGAAACTCTCAAACCTCAAAAAAATACTCATCAAATGGAATAAGGAAACTTTTGGAAATATTTTTGAGGAAGTGTCTAAGGCACAAGATAGGGCAGAAAAGGCAGAAGCCATCCTTGAAATGGATGAGTCTGAAAAAAACCTCATGGAGTTCAAGCTAGCTACAGCCCTTCTGCAGCAAGTTTTGAAAAAAGAGGAATGCTTTTGGGCCCAAAAGGCTAACATCAAATGGATCTCCCAAGGGGATGCTTCTACTTCTTTTTTCCACTCCTATGTAAGGGGAAGAAGGCACAGACTACATATCTCCTCTTTAAAGGATGGGAGAGGAAACATCCATACCACTTTTGATGAGATAGCAAGGATAACAGTGGAGCACTACACAGAGGTTTTCTCCTCAATACATGAAGGGGATATGGGAGAAATCCTAAATCTTATTCCTTCTTGTGTATCTGATCAAGACAACACTTCTTGTGTCCCTATGCATAAAGCCTTTGGCAGCACACTCATAACCCTCATCCCTAAAAATGAAGCAGCCATCACCCTGGACCAGTTCAGGCCCATCTCCCTATCAACTTTTTTCAGTAAGATTATTTCCAGGATTCTGAGTGACAGACTTAAATTGATCCTTCCCAAGATTATCTCCCAGGAACAGGTTGCTTTTCAGGTTGGGAAGAACATTACTGATCATGTCCTCATGACAAAGGAGATGGTTCACTTACTCTCTTCAAATGCAAGAGGAGGGAACTGCATTATCAAGTTGGACCTCTCTAAAGCTTTTGATAAGCTCTCATGGAATTACTTGGAGGGAATCCTTTCCAAATTTGGTTTCTCTCAGCATACCATACACCTGCTCATGGGAAATCTGAAGGCAACACATTTCTCAATGCTTATAAATGGTCAACCAAAGGGTTTTTTCCCCATGAAATGTGGAGTAAAGCAAGGTGATCCCCTCTCCCCCTACTTTTCATTATAGCCTTGGAAGGGCTATCTAGATCCATCAATTATCATCATTCACTCAGGATGCTCTCACACTTCTCTGCTGGAAGAACACCCACCCCAAGCCACCTTCTCTACGCAGATGACATCATTCTTTTCACCAAAGCTGAATGCAGAAATCTCCTCAGGCTAAAGAAGATACTGGCAAGTTTTATGCAGGCCTCAGGTCAGGAGATCAACTATAACAAGAGTCAAGTTATTGTCCATGAAAAAATGAAGCCAGCACACCAATACAAGATCAAAAAAA